CCGTTCACAGTAAGCGATGTATTTCCAATACAGCAGATGCAGGTTCCTGTAAAGGAAATAATAAAAACACAGAGCTGAACTACTGGCTCTGCTCCATGTAAAGGTTTGCTCTTTACTTCCATGGCATGAATGACAGCCAAGTTCATCCTATTTCCCATTACCCTCACACACAAACACACATACATGTATATATATATGTATGTGTGTTGCGCTGTGTCTGATCCACTCAGACCAGCACAACACACACTAACACACCACCACCACATCAGTGTCACTGCACTGCTAAGAATGATCCACCACCAAAATAGTACCTGCTCTGTAAGGGTCCATGGAGGTCCTGACCACTGAAGAACTGGGTAAAAGGGGGCTAACAGAGTATGCAGAGAAACAGATGGACTACAGTCTGCAATTGTAGAACTACAAAGTGCACCTATATAGTAAGTGGAGCTGATAAAATGGACAATGAGCGTAGAAACAAACCTGATCGGTGTATATATATAGTCTAGTATATATATAGGCTAGAACCTTTTCACTACAGCTGATAAAGTGCAGAGCCAATATATGTAGTGCAACAAAGCCATATACTCTATAGAGTCTGCTTAACAGCAACATCACACAAAATGCAAAAACTACCTGTATTTTTAATGTCTCGTCTCTCATTCTGTTGCAAAAATCAAAGCAAAAAAAAATAAAAATTGCCCCAACACACAAACATACCAACAGTTTTTATATTAAGAGCAAGAAAACAAGTTAGACTTATGTGGATAAACAACAGTCTTTCACTTTGGCCAAATGGCTGTCATGAATAATCCAAATACTGTTTGAAATACTGCAACTCAAATCTAGATGAATTTGACACTGGTGTAATTTGGCTTGGTTAAGTGACAACAGTGAGAGACAAATGGGGATTTCTTTTAATGCCAGCACGCAGGAGCTTATGAAAGACTGAGCAGCTGCTTTTTTTTTTTAGAAGCTCTCTTCACCTCAGCAAAACATTTCCCGTCTTTCACAGCACTCTCACTTTCTTTTTTTTTTAAATGAAAAGGTGTTAGTGAAGTACTGTCTGAGAGCCTGTGGGTTCAGCTGCTCATTAAATGATGCCATGTGCAATAAAGTAATAACAGTAACTCATGCAAAAAACCTGAGCTGCAGGAGTCTCACTACATTAACCTGACACGTGATGTCAGGCCTTCCAAACAGCCTTCGAGTCCACTGATGAATCTCACGCCTCTGCTGACCAGTAATTAAACTGCTAATCAGCACCATTGTTTCGCACCACAGTGAAAAAAGTAATGCATTACATTTACTTTTAACAAGAGTTACAAAAAATTACAGCATTTTTTCTTTCACATTCTGTAGGTGTTACTTGCTCACATTTGGCAATGACTCTGATGGTGTAAAACATTTTGTTCATGTGGAAATGGTTTGGTATTCACATTTGAATCATGTAATTCACTCTTTTCAGATATCCCATCATTAATTTGAGAAGTTTTACAAAAAAGGCACTTTAGGGAGGTTTCACTACACCCAGATTGTTGTAATTGTTTCTCTCTTGTTGATGTTTATCAATAAATGTATGCAAGTTTATTGTGTTGTTTCAGGGAAATCCAGCCACCTGTCAGCTTTACTTGATAGGTCTTTGTTTGGTCAGTGCAGCCTCGTTTGTTTACTCTGTGCACATCTTTCCCATTGTCTCCTGGGCTCAACTATTTGCCCATTAGGCATGTCTTTCCTCCTTGTTTTACTTTACCCTGTGTGTTTTTGCATTCACCGCCCACAGTGCGCATCTCTCTTCTATTGTTTGGTTAAATCATTTAATCCCACTGAAACTTTGTTTTGACATTGTAAAGCCCTAAAACAGTTGTTGACATGTTTTCTACTAAAGACTACATTTTAAGTTAAGTTGTAGGTTGCCTAAATTTCACAGGAACATTTTTTGTAGACTGTATAATTGGTCACACGACCTGGGCCATTTCCCTGAAATAAGTGTATCTTTGTTATAATACAGCTACATGTTACATACAGCTACAGCTACCATATCTAGAACATATAATCTGGTTAGATAATACAGTGGCTCACATTTGCTGCTCATAAGCCTAACTGTCGACAATTTTCATTTATATAGCTATAGCTTAATTTTGACCCAGTAAAGACTGAATGCAACGTTTACATCATTAAAGTAGTATCAATGGTGTAACTGCAAAGGGGCAATCAGACTAGGGCCAGTGGAGCAGGGAGGCCCATGACAACCAGGCTCTCTAAAATCTTTATTGAAACCCTCATAGAGATACTGACACTACTTTACACCTATGACTCACAGGAAGATCATCACCACTTCACAGACAACATTGACGTCTGTTTATCTCCCTCTCATTAGTGATGCATCTCATCCATGGAAACTGTTGTCAAACAGGTGTTATTCATTATTTCTTATTTAAAGAAATCTAAATTGGGAGTTTAAAGTAAATATTTAGTTTAATGTTACTTAAATTTGTTTGAGACAGCAAGTAAACAAGCAAATTAAATGGACTTTTTTGTATTCATTGAAAGTGTTTTTATAGGACCCTAAGACTCTAGTTAAGCCACTGAAAAATTGACTGTTTATTAAATCAATTATTGTTTGTCCTTTTTTCTATGTAATTGAGTCTAACTGATTAAATGAATCAAGAAATCACTTTTAAATCTATAGTTTTGCACTGGTGATAATTGTGACCAAGAATGAAACTTATATTTTCAACAGCTTTTTCAAAACTGCTTCTGTAAAGACTTACAATGTGCACCATGGGGCTGTCCAAGAAGTAAAATTCATGTACTCACTGAACATGCATTTAATGGGTTAATCATTCACCACGTTTGCACTTGGCTGTAAAAGTGGTTTGCCATGTACTCCGCGACTGCCACAGTGACAATTTTACTACATTATGTTGCTTCAAACTGATTAGATATATCGCTTCTTTTACTTAGTTGAACATAGCTGCACTAGGTCAGAATCCCATCAGTTTGCATTTACTCCAATCACTTTGGTGTGATTTACTTGAATTCATTGTACATATCACTTAGATAAGAGGGTCATTCTGCAGAAACGTCCACTTTTCTATCTATCCATACGTGTCACTGGTGTTACCAGTCCTCATTGGTGTTACACATAAAAAGCAGTGATAATTTAATGAAAAATGCTACAGAGCATCAAACCACATGTTGACAATCATGGAATATCCACTAAAGTATGTAATTTAATTCATTTGTATTCTATTTTTTCACAATTACCTAAGAATAAAGTAGGTCATACCAGTGACGTCAACTAAAAGCTTCATATGAAATCATGAGCTAAATGAGAAAATTTCTGATAACTGAAAAGACACAGTGGACTTACCTTGTGCTTTTTTCATAGATCCTCTGAAAATAAGTAAAATGAAGTCAAGTGATGTCATCAGTGTGATTTTTATTTCAAAATAAGAGATTTTTATTTCAAAATAAGAAAAACGTGTTTTTCCCTCAAATTATGGCGCTCACCCTTTACACATGACTGTGAGGACGAGCACTTCTGTGGTGCTTGGAATTCTAGATAATTGATTTAAAAAAACAACATTAAATACAGAAGAATGTGTAATTATTAAAATAGTATTGTTTTATTTTAAAATATAAATAAATTGTAACCCTGACATGTTTTTTTTTAAGTGTAATATATCTGTAAACGCTATAGGGACACAAAAATGGACGTTTCTGTAGAATGACCCAAATATTTAAGAAACTACTATACTACTGTTGCATGGAGCCATTTGACACAACATTGTATATTTTACCTTTCATGTTTTTTGAGTGCATAAAGACATTAAAATTGCACCTACTTTGGAAAAAATGGTTCATAATTAAAATCTGTCAAGTGGTGACACGTGAATAAAATAGTGTAGCTTCGGTGTAGAAGATGACGCTGGAAACATTGCGCATACAGACAAATGCTCTTTGACTTTGAACAGGCACTTCAACAGGCAGCAGGAAGTGCTAACCACTAGTTAACTGCGAAGCCCACCCTCATCGGACACAGCTTACACAAAACAAACACAACTACACTGATAACATAAGCTACAGCCGCAGCAATAACAGCCAGGGGGCCACTTTGCATGGCCACACCCCCTCAGCTCCTCTCAGCTGTGGAGGACGTGGCGGAGACCACAACGCGTCTTTAAGTTTGCTTTAAGAACACAGTTCATTCATTTGCAGTCACCTTCATTTGCATAGACACATTTTATTTATGAATTCAAAGTACTACTTTTTAGTGTAGCTTTTTTGCTCTGCGTGCACAATTGTGTAATTGTGTAGTGATAAAGGAATCAGGTGAGGTGAAAAAGCCTCATCTGTGCTGAAACCCCACAGTAACGTCACACAGCACAAGGCACAGCTCCTGTGTGGGAGTGGGGAACTCCCACACAGCGCTTTAGTAAGAAGTAAACCTGAGTGTTTTAACTGCTGTGAGTCTCCCTGCCATAAAAGTCACACTGAATGAAGAAAGAAGGAAAAAGAGAAAGAACGATCTCTGTTCCCGCGGTGAGCTTTGACATTATCCTATGCGCCGCGTGACACTAACTGCGTTTTTATTCCTCTGTCGTGCTATTACGTTTGAAGTAAAGGCGAAATCTAACACGCTTCAGCGCGCGCGACCACGTATATCGCTCGTATTGGCACAGAGTGAGCGGAGAAGCGGACACGTGGTGATGAACGGGGTGTTGACTCTCTGCGTGCAGCGCGTGCTGCAGCCTACAGCCCACATTTCTGCGTCTCGCCCGCTGCAGCAGCACCAAACGCACAGTGCCAGTGTACCTCTTCATTTTATGGCTCACTAGAAGCTCCGCGGGACAGGAGAGCCTCACAAATTTCGCCTCCGCGCTCGGCATGTCTTTTTACTCCACGAAAGAAAAAGACGTTGGGAAAGCTCATTTAAACCAGTGAACAGTACACTGGCAGCATTAGCCCAACTTTACGTACACTTTTCTTGTCTTTAGGGCGAAGGATGGCTTTTTGCGCCTGTGGCTCCTGCAGCTGAGCGCATTCAGGAGAGGCATGGAGACCCTGGATGAGAACGCCACGCTGTTTGGAGCGAACGAGAGCCAAGGCGCATGGAGCGCGCACAGTGTGGAGTACAAGGCGGCCAGCGTGCTGCTGGTGCTGTTGGTGTGCGGCCTGGGCATCGTGGGAAACGCCATGGTCATCCTGGTGGTGCTGACCACCAAGCACATGCGTACGCCCACCAACTGCTACCTGGTGAGCCTGGCCGTAGCCGACCTGATCGTGCTGACTGCGGCCGGCCTGCCCAACATTACGGAGAGCTTGTTCGGTCAGTGGGTGTACGGCTACGGCGGCTGCCTGTCCATCACCTACCTGCAGTACGTGGGCATCAACGCGTCCTCGTGCTCGATCACGGCCTTCACCGTGGAGCGCTACATCGCCATCTGCCATCCGATCCGCGCGCAGTCCCTCTGCACGCTCTCGCGCGCCAAGAAGATCATTGCGCTCGTGTGGGCTTTCACCGGCCTCTACTGCGTCATGTGGTTCTGCCTGGCCGACCTGGAGAAGCAGCAGTATGGCAACACCACCGTCATCGCGTGCGCCTACAAGGTGTCCAGGGAGCAATACCTGCCCATCTACTTCACCGACTTCACGCTCTTCTACGTGCTGCCGCTGCTGCTGGCCACCGTCCTGTACGGTCTCATCGCCAGGATCCTGTTCCTCAACCCGCTGCCCTCAGACCCCAAAGAGAACGCCAAAGCGTGGAGGAAAAGCTCGGGCTTACGGAACACAAAGCACGGAGCCAAAAGCTCTTCCTTCAGTACTACAGCGACCTCCAGAAGACAGGTGAGTGGAGCTTGTTTTTACATTCTTTTATTAAATACACAAGTCCTTATAATAATCGTATTGGTGGTTTTTCTACAGCGCTTTCAGTGTGACCGTCTCAAAGTGCTTTGCACAAGAGCATATATAAAACATTGGAAAAATAAAACATTGCCTTTAAAATGCGCCACTACTACAAACTTTAGAAGACAAAAGATGCAGATGATTTATGCTCTAAGCACTGGACAGTATTAAGTATATTAGTATGTTATTATGAGCGGAGCAGAAAAACTGAAGCGTGCGTAATTACGCACAGTGTCGGTGCGCAAAGTGCCCGTCTTATCCGCATGACTTCTCCTATTTGTTACTCCTCTAAGTTTAATGTGTTAATACGTGCTGAGACGCAAGCATACTGTCGTGCAGACCGCATCGCTTTCCAGCTGGGCTTATTGATCACGATTTCAGTAAAACTGCAAGTATCCTGCCTTCCGCCCAGTGACAGCTGGGATAGGCTCCAGCACCCCACCGCGACCCAGAAGGATAAGCGGTTTAGATGATCTATGTATGTATGTATGTATGTATGTATGTGTATGCAAATACAATGCAAAGGGCATCACTGCATTATGTTATGTGTATATGCATTTAATATTTTGATGTCCAGTAAATTAAAGACATCCAGTAATGAATGCTGCACATATTTAGCCAGGTGAGTTATGTGCTCTAGAAACAAGCCCATTATTCCATTCCACTCCATTATTCTTGTGTTAAATATTGCAAAGAAAAACAAAAAACATAAAAAGGTCAGTTGTTCATTTGTCATCTGATTGATCAAATGATGGTTAATCAATGAGTATTTATTTATTTATTTAATCGTCCTTGTCAAAAAAAAACAAACAAACAAAAAAGTATCTCTTTTTTTCATAATTTGTGCAGAGTAACTGCCCTTTACATTGTGTAACAATTAGAAAAGTTCCAAAATTACTTGTCTGCAGTAAAACAAACATTTTAAAAAGTGAAACAGGTTCAGGTTCAGGTTGTCTCAGACTTTTATTGTTTTGTGGTGTAGGTGACAAAGATGCTGGCAGTAGTAGTGATCCTCTTTGCATTGCTGTGGATGCCATATCGCACGCTGGTGGTCGTCAACTCCTTCCTGAAGATACCCTATGTGGACACCTGGTTTTTGCTTTTCTGTCGGCTCTGCATCTACCTGAACAGCGCTATCAATCCTGTCATCTACAATGCAATGTCTCAAAAGTTCCGCGCTGCTTTCCGCAAGCTGTGCCACTGCAGGCCCCAGCGCTCTGAGAAGCCTCCCACGTACAGTTTGGCACTGACTTACAGTGTGATCAAGGAGACCTCTAATGGAGAAAGCCCAGATCACTTCACTACAGAGATGGAGGAACTGCCTGGGGCTACAGAGGAATTCCTGCCTGGAAAGAAAAGGCTTTCCTTCAAAGAGCCCTCACTGTGTAAAAGCATGCTAGCTGAAGCCTAGCTCCATGAGGGTGGAGAGAGGGGGACATCGGTCACTTGGTAAAAATGTACACAGATCCATGGATTCACAGTTGTAAACAACACTCTTAAAAATAAAGGTGCCAAAAAGTGTTTGCAGTGATACCATGGAAAAACGATTGGTTCTCTCGAGAGCCTTTCAGTGGATGGTTCCTCAAGAATCAGTTTTGTAAATGAGATGTAAAAGTGTGAATCTTTACTGTATGTAAAGGTTCTATACCAATTAAAGGTTTTTCCTAGAACTGCATGTTCAAGCCAAGAACAATTTAGGAAATTTTATTTAAGGTACTGTAGGCATTTAGAATGCGATTGCATTCTATGTGTTGAGATATCAGTCTTTGAAAACAGCAAAGCTGAGGTCTTAATGGGTTATGATGATTACCTCTCCAGTTGTTCCACCTAGAAGATTTACAACTCTGTGTTCAAAGTGCAGCCCATGTGGGTTTCTGTAGCTACTGCACAGTATATCACTGCTAAAGCTTCATCCCTGAGAGACCTGTTACAGTGATGGTTTTCACATTCACATTATACAGAGATATCAGAGACCTGTTTGCTGCAGTCACTGTGGAAATGTGGGACGTACAGAGTTATCCATCCAACATCTCTCATATTATTTGTTATTTCAGACTTATCAGGCTTTAAGCCTTTCAAATTTAAAAACTGAAAACGTCATACCTCCATTCGTATACAGAGTACAGTGGTGATGTACAGTATAGTGGCATTGTGGGATCATGTCTAGAAGCTCAAAGCACTCTTAAATTCACATATAAAAGGAGTACAAAAAGAGGAAAGAGTGGATTACCAACACACATGAAGATTTAGCATTTCAAGTTATTAGTTTCCTCTGTAATGGTAGAAACCGTTTGCACCCATCCATTATTTATGCTGTATATATGTTGTATAAAGTGCAAGCTATTGATAACAGCAGTGGAAAATTCTACCTTGTTGACTTTTAAAAACTACTTTGACTGTGATTTCTGTATCTTTGGACAGAGTCAGCTTATGTCTGATGCAAGTTTGTGTTCCTGAATGTGGCTTTTGATGTAGCATTCCAAGCTTAACATATACTAGTTCAATGTAAAGAATAAAAACATGCAGTCTGATAATAGCTCCTGTGATGTTAAGTGTACAGTCCAATGGATTTGACCTTTCGGCACAGACTCTGGAAACCATTTGGAATTCATTGTACAGTAAACCTTTGTATTCCATAAGGTGAATGTTTAAAGTGTTTAAATGACATTTCTTGTTGTTGTCGTCATGATCCCTATTTATATTTTGTAAAGTTGTGCCTTGTCTTGAATAAACTGATAGTATGAGTATGTCTTCAGGTTCTTATCATTTTACATATGACCTTTATATATGACCTTCTCCAGTGACCAATGAGTGTAATTCAAAAACAGAATATGTGATATACAACTCCAAATAGTGGACAAAGATCACACCACTTCACAAAGTGCACTGAGCTCCAAATAAAACATTATGCCTGGTTTTCTATGTTCTTTACCATCATTCAGTTTTCCCCCCTCTCAAGTATCAGGTCCATGTGCTAGCCGGATCTAAAGTGTCATTTTTCCATTAAAACACATACAGATTTTTTTATCAATTGATTTTTGTTGCTTGTGAAAGATCTTCTGCTGCAAATACCAAAATTATGTAACATATGTAAGCAACTGGTGCCATCAAAACAAACTTTCAGATCACAACCCATCTCACAGCCAGCATAAAATGTCCCTAAATAGTCACATCAGGTGAACAACAAAACAAAAAACTACTCTAGGCAGACGGATGATAAATCCGGGACCAGCTGATATACAGTCTTCGTTAATAAAACCACAAGTAAGGTTGCATACACACAGTAGACAAGCAACACAAATAAACCCTCAGAGCAGAGACTGAGACTGTAGTAAGAAGTATAGATGTATGCACATCCTCACAAATCATGTGTATCATTCGTACAGAGTCGTACATAACATTTTGGTCAAATCACATGTTTTTGTTAATTATTTCAGTGAAAATAAGTCAACACATCCTCTACAGAGAACACTTCTGCACATTTTAATGCACAATCACTGTTTATTTGCTGGATTTAACATATTGGGAAAAACACACAAAATGTGGCATGTACAAAGGTTATGGCACATTTAATATGTTATATTTTATTCTTTTTTTCCCAAATGTGTCAAAATCAGCAAATAAAGAGTAACTGTGCTTTGCTTCCAGAGAATATATTTAATATACTACTTGATATAAATATTTTCTTATTTGTTTCGTATTTGTTTTCATAGTTATATTTGAGTATAACTGTAACATCTGTTTCAACAAACTCATTTCTATGAAAGACCAAAATTAATTGCAGTAGCCTATAGGTACTGTATTGTGGCACTATGAATGATTAATAGTAGTCGACCTCACTTTGTGAGACAGTAAAAAAGTCATCCATCACAGTGTGGCATGATTAGTTAAAACACCCTCACATGGCGCACAGTGGAGGAAACCAGATGAGATTAATCTCTGTAGTGAATATAAGAACAGAGTGATAATCTTATCAGTGCATGGAAGTTTGTATAAATGGCTATAAATATCCTAATTATCTACAAGTATGCACAAAGACAAAGCACACACACATGCATGAGAGTGGACACAAGGGTCTACAGCACTTAGTAACTCATATGCACTCTTAAAAATGAAGGTCCCCAAAAGGGTTCTTTGGTTCTTTGGCATTATGGCAAACCACAATTTTACAATATTTGTGAATGAGATGTTTTGTAAAGGCTCTACATCAATTAAATGTTTTGTTTTTTTTTTTCCTAGAAGCATATGCCCAAGCTGAGAACCATTCAGGAACCTTTATTTGTAAGAAAGCAGAACAGCATCTTCTTTCCCTGAGAACTGTCAGTCTAGATTTAGATGCATCGCATGCATTCGGATACTACATTTCTGGACCAGAACACACTGATGTTAACCTCAACTAACATTTCCTGTGTATGCTTGGGGCAAGAGAGAAACACATCTACACAAGTCTAACTTTAGCCTCGAGGCCCTCTGGGGTGAGAATGAGATGTTGAGCAGGGCAGAGAGGACTGAACAGCAAGAATAAGCACTCAGGTCCTGGGAGCGTTACAGGGTGGGCTTATGTAAACAGCCATGACCCATTTAGCCCCACTTACATGAACTTTTAAACCAAAGGCATCAAACCAAAACACTCTGCTTCTGGCTTTATTTTAACATGCAGGTCTGTTCCAGCACAGGCTGTACAGTCTAGGACGCAGATGAAACGAATCCGCAGGGCGAGCCAGGATATTTGATAAGAATATAAAAATAAAACTGCCTCCCTGAAATATTCTTGGCTAGAGAGCAACAACGAGATGGATAATGTTCAATTTTTGTTAATTTCGATATTCCACTCTTCTTGATTAATTATATTTACCACTTAGTTAAATCAAAGCATCACTGTCAAAAACCTTGTAACTCAAAACAGTTGAAAAAATCTGCTGCCCCTTCTATTCTGTGAACACCTCATTGATGAATTGAACAATAGAAATGATCCAAAATTACTTGGAATGAAATTGTGTTTTTAACATATGGTACTATAAAAAGGCAGAGACCACCCTTCATCTGTTTAATTTCCACTAAAAATACCATTAAGTATGAGCTATTCATTTTACAGCAGCAGGACAAGATCAAAAAACATATTTTTCAGAAAATTACACAAGAACCTCAACTAAATATAAAATCATTTTTAAAGTGTTTAGGGTAACTTTACCTTTATTAGAGCTTCCATTGTTTTTGGGAGATTCCCCCTTTAGTTTTGCTTAGAAATCTGCAGAGACATTTTTCCACAACTCATAGAAGCTGGTTGCAATTTCTGCTTCTCACAATCCAAGTAGTCCCAAACACATTCTCAATTTCTTTGTTGTTTTGTAAACTTTCTTCTTTTTATCTATTTCTTTTTCTCAGTAATGGCTTCTTGACAGCTGCACATCCTTTCAGACCTTTTTTTTCGGATATAAACAAGCAAGAGTGGAGCTTGATTTGATCCTCTCTCTCAAGGATGAAGGCTTTATGCACTGTTTATGTGATTGTGACAGTTTTGGTGGCCTATCAGGACTTATTACTCATTTCTTTTAGTAAGTTAAGTCCAGTTTTGGGAACTTTTGCACAGTACTTTTCATTACAGTTAAGAATGCTTTTTCCTCACCTATGCAGGTACATCTTCAATACCTTTAGTTAGGGAACATAACCATATCTAATTTCATTGCAATTATATCTTTCAAGTTGTGTTGACTTCATACACCCAGTCTGGTTTTCATCTCCAGTCTGTTTTAAAACATTAGGTTGAGAAAAGGTACAAATTTATATCTTTCCTCTGGGAAAAACTTATTTGAAGTACACAGTTGGACCCACTATGGCACCTTTGAGGGCACATTTATAGTTTTTGTATCTTGATGAATGAAAAATGTACCTGGGCAGTACCTTTTTCTGACAGTGTATAAAGTAACCATTCCATTTACAAGGTTTACTTGCAACAGCAAAAAATAAAAAATAAATACTATTCAATAATGATGATAATGATGCTGATTCAGTCCTCATCATGGGATAATGAGCACAATGAGAAACTTAAAGAAGCCTAATTCTCATGAACTGCTTAGTTTCACTATACACCAAAAGGAAAGGCTTTAGGTCTTTTCCCTTCATTAAAGGTTAGAAACCTAATTAGCTACAGCAATTTCCAAATGCCTCTAAGCTTGTAAGATGGGATCTATACTCTCTAAAACAAAACATGTTCTGAAATACTACATAGCAATGTTTTACCAAGCGCTAGCCTCCATGGAAACATGGAGTTTAGATAGCTAATTAATTCACCAGCACAAATTACATGCAGGAATGTGTAAGTGTGTATAATATTGCAGAAAAGTGATATGACACTGTGAAAGATAGTTAAACTCCTAATTGGAAGGCTTTTGTGTTTGTGCTGTAATGAAGAAAATGAGCGCTGAGGTGTAAAACAGTGGTAAGCTCTCTTATTGATCACATCATCTCCACTCTTTGTAATTTCCTCCTCTCTTTATCCTCAGGCACAACAAGGTTGACTGAAGATCAAAACATAGCCTCCTTCACAGGAGCAGATTTAGTGATTTCGGGGTCTCTAGGCAAAAGACAGGAATGGAGCCCCCCGGAAACACGTTTTTTTAAATTAGTTGAGACTCTGT